ATCAGGCTTCTCTGTTGAGGAAAGACTGTTGGGTATATGATGTCAGAATTAGATGGGGAGATTAGTTATGATGCTACTATAGCAATGGTAGCAGTCGATAGGGCAAGAAGGGGTCATATTTCGGGTGCATTTTTAAAGTAGAGACAACAGTATTTACTGATGAATTTGGATGTGGATGGTTAGGGGGAAAAAATCAATAATGACACTCTTGTTTTGTCTTGAATTATCAGAAAGATGATGTTGCCATTAACTGATGTAAGAAATACCATGATTGGAACAGGTTCGATGTGTGTGATTGAGTGATGGTGGTGGGTGGGCATGGAATCTGGAGTCCATTTTTGTATAGTTTGAGATGAATGTTTGGTATCCAAATGTATATATTGATTAGGCAATTTGAATATATAAGATTATCTATCCCATGGGATTATGAACTCCACTGGGACAAGGCCTATGTCTTGTTTCTTGTGTTTGACATGATACTTGGAACATAATGTGCACTCACACATTTTAATTGTTGCACAAGAAGCTTCTTAAGGTAATTTTTATTGTGACCCTTCTGAGATCCTCCTCACCAGCTGAGTACTTCCTCCTATGACACAACTTTACAGCTCACAGCACTCATCCCAATGATGTAAAGCTTTGTCTGCCTCCCCAGCCCAAACTTTGGGTTCAACTAATATAAGGCTATGCATTAGCCATTGTCCTATTCTCTGGGGTAAAGAGACACTATTTTAATTATCCAGGCAAGTTAAGGATGACAAACTGAACAAGGAAAGTCAGTAAAATAAAGGAGAGGGGGCCAAGTTGAGAGTTATCAAGATTATTCAGTGAGCAACTGTCTTGATGTATGACCTAAGGAAAAAGGTATAATGATACCATTCCTTGACATTGTAAAACAGTTTGGTGGGGTGGAGGATGTTTCGAAATTTTTAGTTAATTTACATTATCTTTGGAGCAAGATAGAGTTTTGCCCCAGCTATTGACTGTTGGAGCTCAGGGGAAAGACCGGGTCAGAAAAGTGGCTTTGGGAATCATCAGTACATTAATAGTAATTGAGGTTTGGGGTATGGATGTACTGTTATTTCCTTTTCCCAGACGAAGAAACTGGAGCTCTAAAATTTGTCAAATTAAGAAACCGGAGCAGCCGGGCTCAGTGGCTCAGCCTATAATCCCGCGCCTTTGGGAGGCTGAGGTGAGTGGATTGCCTGAGACTGTGGGTTCAAGACTCGCCTGGGCAACTTGGTGAGACTTCATCTCTACAATAAATCAAAAATAATTAGCCAGGCATGGTAGTGCGCGCCTGTAGTTCCAGCTACTTGGAAGGCTGAGGCGGAAGGATAGCTGGAGCCCAGCAGGTCGAGGCTGCGGTGGCCGGGAGCGGCCACTGCACTCCAGTCTGGGCGGCAGAGTGAGACTCCAACTCAAAAAAAAAAAAAAGAAACCGGAGCTCTGAAATTTGTCAAATTAAGTAATTTGTCAAATCTCTAAGCTAGAATTTTAACCCCAATCATTTCCCCCCCACATTCCACTCTTGTGACTCTGACCTCAAGATCTGCAGCCTCCCCAAGGGGTCAGACATTTGGTCTAAAATTGTAAAAACACTTGGTCATGAATTTTGTAATGTTTTCCTTGTGTTGTAGTGTTTAGTACTCTTTGTCCATGTTTATCATCTTGCCCTGAAATCATTCTCTGGCCGCTTCAGCCAGAAATTTCCTTCCAAAGAGGAGGGGATGACCCAAATCTTTTACTCATACTTAACCTCTATTGAGAGGAGCAAGTATAGTCTTGAGCTATGTCATTCTGCCATGGCCTGCTTAACTCATTTGCGACCACTGACGTGAATTTATGTCATTCCAAATTTTGTTCAGTTGCTGCTGATGTGAATTTATGTCTTAGCAAATTCTATTTCTGAATGCTGCAACGTTGTCATGTGTACATGTTATTATATTTTGCTTGAAAATGAATAGTCAGGAAGGAGAGAAAAAATTGAGATAATTACCTGATATAGATTGTACAATGTTATTGATTTACATAGTTGGTAAAAATTGCAAGTTGGTCATTATTTTGTTGAGATTAGTGGTTGTATACTTGTATTTGGATATTTCAGGGCTTTCGTACTTCAAAATTAAAAAATAATTTACTGTAATTATGGAAAATGAAATATATGCTGATGAGATTTCTGAGGTCAAAGGTGAATCCAGTGAACCTATTAGTGGTAGTGAGACAGATAGTGATGTAATGACGTAATAGAAACAAAGAAATATAATGCAGATAATCTATGACAGTGAATCTAGTACTGGTGAGAATGAATCAGACATTGAGAGGACAAAATATGACCCCAAAAGAAACTTAGAAATGTTTATTGGTAAACCAGGTGTCAAGGTATTTCCAAATGATCCTCAAAGAATAAGTGAAGTTGTTGGAGTATTTATTGGAGATGATTTTATAGAAATGATTGCAACTGAAACTAACAGGTATTATGATCAGATGCACCACAGATATAAATGTCCAAAGAAATAAAAAAAGTGGAGCAATACCGCAGTGTCTGAGATGGAAAAATGTCTAGCATTAAATATTTTGATGGGACAAGTGAAGAAAACCACAATACATGATTACTGATCAGCACGACCATCAGTTGTGATGCCTTTCTTTTAAAAAATAATGACACAAAGTAGATTCCTACATATTTTTTGGTTTTTGCATTTTTCCAATAATGCAAAAATGCAGTCAAATTCAAACAGATTATGCAAAATGAACCCGGAATAAAGTATGTTTTAAATAAGTTCAACACTGTGTACAAACCTGAACAAAAACTTTCCTTGGACGAAGCCATGGTATCTCATTGTGGAAGACTGTCTTTCCAGGTTTATACTCCGAATAAAAATACAAAGTATGGAATGTGTCAGAGTGGTGTCTGAGGCAACTACTGAATATGTCTGCAACTTTCAGCTGTATTGTAAAAAAGGTGACAATTTAGAAAAGACCATTTCATTTGTGCTTAACAACAGAAGTTTATGGCAACCAGTTTCAGATTTTTTTTTTAAATTTTAACCCTCTCTCAGTATTAGGATAGTGAAAATTTTGCCAGTTGCAAATAAAAGATCAGGCATCCAGTTCTCCTTCCAGAGATACCAATACCTGCCCCAACCCAAGTAACTGGAGAAGGAAGGACAGGGTCCTTGGGTCTCATTAGAAGTTCCAGGGAATGTGAATGTGATGGCTGTCATTACGAGGTCCAACTGTGTGGCCAGGGTTACCAAGCCTGCCTTTGGTGGTAGATCACCTACTCAGTGATGGTGTGAGGGGTAGGTTGGGAGACTCAGCTGAACAGATACCAGGAAAGAACTCTAGGAATTTCTTGGTATGGCAAGCTATACTGAGAGGCACCCTAAAGCAGGTCTGTAGGAGGGACTTCGTTCAGTCCGTGAGGGAGGATGTGGACAAGATATCATTTGGAGGGGTTTATATTTCTTAGCAGTTTCTTACAGATATCAGCTTGCCTCTTACCCTCCCTTTTGGGTTTCTCCATTTTACTCCAAGAGTTTCAGAAAATTGTATATACTTCCACTAATAATAAATATATATTTCACTGAAATAGCAAAATATTGGACATTCCCAGAGACGCAAAGGGACCAGAGTTCCATCTCAGTTATGAGCAGCTGATCTGGATGATAGACTCATGAGTGGTACTAAATTCTAAATTTTTGGTCACTTTTTTTTGGTCTCCTTTCGGCAGTCAAGGTGAATGGTTTTGCTGTTTTCAGAAATGCAGTGGGATATAATGAAGAGATGAGGAAGCATCACAGGAACCAAGGACTGAAGCTGCCAGGTTTAAGTGGTGCCATCCTTGAAGGAAAAAGTGCAGGCGTCATCCCCTGAGGGAAAGGCACCAGAACGATCCTGGGAGGGGATTCCACTGACTGAATTCATACCATTAGTTACCATGAAGGTATATTCAGGGAGCAAGGATTGTGGAAAGGATGGTGGAACAGGACCCTAGGTGCAGGTGGTATAGAAGGGTACCTGTATAATGAGCATTTGTATACCTAACCCTGAATTGTACCCCACATCTTTAAAAAGAGAAAAAAATGACACAGCAGTAGGGCTGGGTAGAAGCTACTGGCAGCAACTTGACAGTCTCAGATATATTTAGAAAACCTCTTGTATTGGTGGTTCTTTCCCAGAAACTTCAATGCTCAACTCCCTGACCTTCATCACACTAATGGCAAGCAACCAAGCTCAGAGTTTACGCTTTCTCCCCCAAAGGAATTGGACCTTGGGCTTGCCTCCTGGCTCTAGATTCACTATAGTGCCAAGCAAACTGTTTTTCTCCCCCCAATATCATGACCTGGACAGGAAAGTGGTAGCTTTTATCCCAGGTACTCAGACCTCCAACTATATCACGCCTCCATCTCTCCCTGGGCTGAGAGACCAGCCCTTCTCCATTTCCTAAGGTGATCTCCTTCAGGGGTCATCCACTTCATGTAGCTAAGAGGCAGTGAAGGCGTTAAACAGCAGGGTAACAGCAGGCTTCCAGATGGGTTTTCTAGTGAGTTCTTCCCTGTACACACAGGAAGAAGACAGGAGATTCTATTCTCTAAATCTGATATCAGTCATATTAGTTGTGTGTCTCTGATAAACACAAAGCACCTCCTCAAGGAGGGAACACTGTGGCACTGCTCTGAATGACTCATCTGAGATGCGAATTAAAACTCCTTCCCTAGACAGAATTGACTTTTTAGGCTCCCTCATGCCTCCCCTTAATAAATACAGCATAGACAAGGAATAGACAGATAACTTTGCTTAGATATATGAAGTGTATTTTGGGTGGCGCTCTGCCCCACCTGCACATTTATGGAAATGATAACAGCAGTTCTCTTGAAGGGACACATGGGTTGGGGATCTTTCAAATTATTTTTAATTGCCCTGGATGTTCTCATCCTCGAGCCGACCAGTGTTTCTCTCTAGGTGAGGGTTGGGAGCTAGGATGGGTGCCCTGGTTAAGTGGCACGAGCTACGCGAGGACAGTGCCGAGGGCAGTGGTGGGGATGGCCCTGGACTGAGGCAGAGCCAGATTGTCTGGAGCAGAGCCGGAGCTTATTCTCTGGGCAATGGGAATTATCAAAGAAGGCCTGGCCTGCTAACTTCTTGGCGATGGGAGATTGGTCAGTGGAGTGCCTTGTTGGCTTCTCTGTCTTAGTTCTCCCCATAGGACTTTTGGCTGGAGCCAAGCTCTTTTGAACATTTTCTTTTTGGGTTTTGACCACTTTCTCAGCTATAGGAAATATGCAGTCATTTTGCCCTCTGCCTTTTGTTTTGGGATTAATACATTGCAGAAAGGATCTTACTTTACTTCTCAAGTTAGCCTCTGGAAGACCGGGCCTTTTGTGAGTATAGGCTGGTATCACCTGCCCATGCAAAAGTTGACCTTGTAAAGTTTGGCCCAGCAGAGGCTTATCCTGAAATTCTTGACTTGGGAAAGCCTGACCCTGTGAAGTCCGGGACACCACAGGCTGGGCATTCTCAGGAATCTTTGCTGATTTGAGAGCGGCGTGTTGTTTGGTTTGACTGTCTTGCAGGTCATTCTCAGATTCTTTTCTCCCAGGGACTCCTTGAGGTAGGTCTGGGAGCTTAAGCTGAGGGTGATGTTGGGGGCTGTGCTGAAAGGGATCAGCAAGATGAAATCTGTGGCTCCTTTGCCAGTAGCCTTGGGGTGTCTTGTTCAGCAGCATCCCTGCTGGTCTCTCGTCTTCAGCTGGGTGTCTTTCTTCTGCAGTTGAGGAGAGCCAAAACCCTGCATCCCCTTCTCCTCGGCCCCCAGCTGCTTTGAGTTTCTCTGGGTTCTCTTTCTTTTCTGCTAGCATGGGGACTTTGGCTGGGTCCCTGCTCTTGCCAGGACTTTGGGGCTCAGAGCTCCAGGGTTCCTCCAGGCTGGTGTTGTTCACAATGGCCTTGCCCTGAACACAAAGCACCTGGGCCTCGGTCATGTCCCCACTGGGTTGTGAGATTTTGCAGATACAGTGGGTAGAACCATGTGACACTGCTTTGGAACTAGGTTGCTTTTGATTCTGCTGCACTGCCTTTAACTCAGCAGTCAACTGTTTTTTATGGTGAACCCATTCTGGATCTGGGGGTGTAGAAAGTACCTGGAGCAATGTTTCTCCTTGGCTGTTTAGACTCCCAAGAGACTCCTGTTTGGATTTGTTCTCTAGCACTGCTGCAGTTTGTTCCCTGGACTCCCTTGCCCTGATGGGAATTCCCCATTGTATCTCTAGGGTCTTTTTTCTCAGGTGGAAACATAGTTTGGCCAACGTATGTGTCCTGTGTGAGTGGGGGATAGCAGGATGTGTCTGACTTTCTAGAGGCAGCATCTCCGTTGTTCCTTCCACTGGTACTGCAGGCTTGGACTCTTCTGCGGTGTCTGCACCAGTCTCACTGTTGTCTTGAAAGCTTGGCCCGAGACTTACATACTGTTCTTCAGACGAGATTATCTGAGTCACAGGCTCTTCTGGGATTTTGGTAGGCCCAGGCACCCCCTCTGTGATTACGGATTTGCTAGTGACTGCTGGGGCCATGGCCCTGGAGAGAGCCACGTAATAAAGAGCAGGCAGCCCGGACAGGAAGGCCAGGTACTTGTGCCGTAAAGTTGTCTCCAGTTTCTCGATGGCTCCCTCAGAGAGGGCTTGGGGCAGCCTCGGGTGTCTATTGATAGGACCTGGTAAAGCCTGTTGCTGCTGATTGAGGGCCGTTGGCATCCAAGGCATAACTTTGTGATGCAGGTCAGGGTCACTAGTTGCCTGCAGCACCATGGGCTGGCCTTCTGGAATGCAGGGGAGGGGAGCCACTGCCAGTTCCCCAGTAGTTCTGCAGTCCCAGGACCTATATACACGGGCAGGGAACTTGCCATGGTTGATCTCTCCACATTTGGAGTCTATGTGGCTCTGCAATATTGCCTTGGCCTGGGTGAACAAGTGTGGCATGGGATTTGACACCGGGGCCACAGTGGATGACAACACATCTAAGACCATAGGCTGGGGGACATCCATACTGGTTAGAGTTGTGCTTCTCCAGGACAGAGTCTGCTGGTCAGTTGAGGAAAGGAATGACTGGATGGACTGCTGGATCTTCTGGGGCAGGCCCCAGCGTTGGTGAATCAACTGCTTTTGGAGGTGAAGGTTCAGTTTCTTCCTCCGGGCATACCCCGGGAAGAAGAATATATCCCTGGTGGGGACTGAGACAGGCTTCTCTGGCCAGGAAGTTGTCATGGTCTCAGGAGACTGGGCTTTGCCACAGGGCTCATACTGCATGGGGCTCTGGGCATGCTGAGATCTCTGGAAGACAGCTGGCATGCCCCACTGAAGCTGTGACTGCCTCTGTAGTAGGTGACACTCCAAGGCTTCACACTCAGCCAGAGTCAGAAATGGGACATGATTCTGGATATGAGCTTGTTGATGATCAGATGGAGTCACCCAATTTGGGGAAGGTGGAGAAGAGGGCAGGGTTGACTGGGGTGGTGTTTTAGGCAGCAGGGGGAGGAAGGAGAGATCCTTCAAGAGAATAGGATCTTTCAAGGGGGGCTTGGACCAATTTTCATTCTTGGAGAGGCCTTGATGAGAGGCCAAGAAAGTGGCAACCAGGGACTCACTGTGCAGAGAAGGGAGGCCACAGAATAGCTGGCTGTATCTCTGGTGCAGATAGCTGTCTGAGTCACTAGCCTGTCCCCCAGGTGGTGGACAGAGGCCACTTAGGGCTTTAAGGGCTGGTGAGTGTAAGGCTAGGGCCATAGGGTTTGGGATTTTCTGACAATGGTGTCTTTGTTTGGGGTTCATAGTGAACCATTCAGAAACCCAGAAGGTCTGGATGGGCTGACCAGCCATACATGAACACCAGGTCTGGTGGGAAATGGTTTCAAGTCCTTGAACAGATACCTGAGAAGTATTATTCAGGATATAAGAAACTGGTTGGTTATTTCCAGGCTGGTAATACAATGGTGGGTTTGGCATAAGCTGCCTCAAGGACTCCTCCACACGTCTGGGGAGCCCCCACCTTTGGAAATGCATCCACTTTTTTACATGTACCTCTAGAAACCTCAAGGCTTCAGGACTGACAAATGGCAGGTGGGCTTCTGGGAGGACTACATGCAAGGCCATTGGATGTGTCAAGTTCATGATTTCTGGATGTGGAGACAGCACAGAGACCTGTGAATTCAACTGATGCTGACCTTGGTTCCCCTGTACAAGGTTGGGATTGCTCTGCATCATCTGCTGGTTCACTTGACCTGTAGGCTCCTCAAAACTTGAAGAAGTCATAGTGTCTGGACCTCCGGGAACCTCTGGCATTTGAAATCCCTGTCCTTGGTGCAGGTGATCAGCCCAGTAATCTTGGACCCTGACTGAACTAGTTAACTGGGCACCTGAGTGGGTTGATGCCATTAATTGTGACAGTGTCAGAGCGTCAGGTGCCAGTGAAAGCTCTCTCGTGTGCTGAGAATGAAGCTCCAGACTTTGCTCAAAGGATATACTAGATAGGGATAAAATATCTAGGCAAGAAGAGCACTGAGATGGCCCTGATAAAGTGGAGGTCTGGTTGTTTTCACCCACCAGCAACTGCTGAGTCTCCAGAGTCACATCATTGCAGATTTGGCAGCAGGGATCTGCACACAGGAGCCGCCGCACACTTGCCTCCTGAGGAAGCCAGCCCTGGCTGGGAAGGGAAACATGGCAATGTTAATGATGGAGTGACATGCCTTCTTGGAGGAGTGTGGTCTGGGTGGGCACTTCCCTTCCTTAGTCCTGTAAGTCTGAGGGCCTACACCCCTTGATGTCTACCACTCTACTTTTCTTTCTTAGAAAATGCTGTTTGGCAGGGGATGGTGGCCTGGTCAGGGTCTGGGGCTTAATGGGCAAGGTCTCAGACAACCCATAGAGAGGACTGGAAGCTAGGGCCTGTTCTCTGTTGACCTTGTTGAGAAGCTGAACTGGGAGAAGGGAGCTAAGTAAATGGGGAGCCACGTGGTTAGCTGATAAGGCATCACCAGGAACATTACGAGGTTGTACCTGGATCTGTCTCATTTGAGGCTAAGAAACCCAAAGTCTGGTATTCAGTATATCCAAACTTTGGAAAATAGGTCCCTATGGAACTCCTGCATTCTGAGGACTATCGGATGTCCCTGCTGTTGTACCCAATGCCTCTTGGGAATTAATCCTGTAATCCAGAAATCTTAACAGGAGAAGATGATAGGCTCCTGTCTAAAGACTGTCCTAGCAACTGGGCTTCTGAAGACAGAACCAGAGGAAGTAATGTTATCAGGGCCCAGTTTGGTCAGCAGTATCTTCTCATTAAAGGGTACAGCTGTAAGGAGAATAAGACAATGATGACTTCTTCATGCAAAACCCATTCTCTTGACTGGATAACTTATCTCATGGCTGAGTATTACCCCATGCAGAATCTTTTATGAAATATGCACTAGTATAATCCTGAATTCCAGAACTACTGTGACCCTAACCCAGTGCAGAACTGGGTGACTCTTCCCTTCTGAGGTGTCTGGACCCCCTTTTGTCCTGGAAACCCTCTCAACTAGTAAATAGGCCTTTACTGTGTGTCTCTCTCCCAGCCATTCCCTCTCCTCATCCCTGCCCCAGGCCAAACCAACAAATCATCACAGGCCAGGCTAGTGTTGGAGACTACAAAGAGCAAGAGATCACCTTTTCATGGCAGAGTACAGCTTCCGTGGCTTCTCAGCTTCTTCCTGGGATAGTCTAGCTGAGGAACCAGGAGACAGTGTTATGTGCATGGGAGAGATTACAGGGTATCTACAGGAAGCTGGAGGTCTTTGACTCTCAGCAAGTGGACACTGAAAACCTCAACTGTCAATGCTCTAAGGCCCCTCTGGGTATAATATAATCATTCATGACTTGTTGTCCTGCACCCATTCTCCTTGAACCTTCATGACTATACTGTGAGTGAAGGAGGATCATCAGATGCCCATTTTATGGCAAACTGGACCAAGAGTGAATGACTTCTATAGGATCGTAAAACTAGTAAATGACACCATTAAGGACATCTGGCCCATGTCCTGAATTCTTTATTTTCATGGGAGTAATGCAGAGAACTTTGGAACACTTCCAAGTTCTGATTTTCCTCCTGTGGACATCTTCTGAGAAAGTTGTCAATCTTGGAAATTGGAGACTTTAGTGTCAGAGGACCTGGCTCTTGGCTTGAGGGGCCATAGAGGGACAGTATTCACGGGAAACTTGCCACAGTAGAAGGGAATCAGAGGGGTGATAGGAATTTTACCTCTCGATGCTGCATTTCTAGCCCTTTGTCTGATTTTTCGGTGATGCTTAAAGACAAAAACATTAGAATGTAAAGCTGGGACAGCATTATTTTATGTCCAAAATGAGACAGACTCATATACATATCCTACTGCCTTTCTATATATCTGCCCTCCTATATTCTCTTTGCCTATACTCCACCTGTTTTATCCCACCACTTTCTTTCTCTGTTTTTTGTCTGATTCACTCTGAGGCTTTTCCAATTATTATACCTCCCATCTACTTCCAGATAAGAAATTCTGCTGGAGAAAGAAGATGAAACAAGAGAAAGAGGGATACAGATTAAAGAGTATCTGGTTCTAATATTCAAAGACTTCAGCTTACTAGTGCCTTAAAGCATCACTAACCAGAAAAAAAACAACAACTGATATTGTGAGGTCTTTTAAGATCCAGTGAGGCAGATCCCATATTATTTAGGGCTTCTATTCAAGTCAAACAGAGAGGTTCTTGACTTTTCAATTAGAGTATATTTCAGGGAAGACCTCTTAAGGAATTACTTATATGCTCTGAGAAGAAAAAGATATAAATTAACATAAGGTATGATATAAAAATTGTAGGGCAGGTGTGGGGTCATCAGGGAAAGACCGTTGAGCTTAAATGCTTCTCTGAATCTTAATTATTTCAGTTGTGGTCTAGTGTGTCCCTACCTGACAGCAGGTCCTTTTAAGTTCCAACTTCAATTCGTGGTATCTTTTCTTTGCTTTCCAGATAATTAGAATAATGATGAAGATGAAGCTATAGGTAAATAAGAAATACTGAACATCCCACAGAAGACAAGTAGGGCTCAACATGGTCTAAACCTCATTAGCATGAGGAGACCACCCATCCCTATGTCTAGTCGTTCTGCTTCCTGATGCCTAATGACTCCCAGTGCTAGGCCTTGTCATATGTGCCTCATAGAGGATGGAACCAGGTTGTCAGACCGCATCATAAAGCCCTCCTGTTTCATAAGGCATGTGTAGTAGAGAAACTCATATGGTGATTCAGTCTGTAGATAAGGGTGTCTGGTTATCTGTAAAGGACAGAGAGTCTGAGACTAAAGGTGCCACACTCACAAGTATTGTCTTTTTCCCCGTCTGTCTTTACTATCCATCCCCAAACCAGCCTGATGGCTCGGCTCTCTCCTTCACAATTGCGTCGTCACCCGTCCTCAGAAAACGAAGTACTTTGGCAATCAGGGCACCTTATAAGACATGGTTGGGAGAGAGAAGCTTCCACCAACTCCCCTCTTGTTCTAGAAATACATCTGAGAAGCACACAGGATATGAGGGAGGACAGAGTCTACTTCTGGCTTGGAAATGGAGAGTTTTGAAGTTTCAGGTGATGGGTAATCAAATCAGAAGTGTGGGAAGGAGACCTTGGTTGATGTGGCAGGAAACGGCCAAGGTGGCAGTATCTACCCAGTCTGTATGATAGGCTTTCATATGGGTGTAAAGAGATTGTAAAAACTGTCTTTCATGGAGACACATTAATATGGCTCACTTTAGCCAAGCATGGTGGCTCATATATGTAATCCCAGCACTTTGGGGGTGTTTAGTGGGAGAATCACTTGAGCCCAGGAGCTCAAGACCAGTCTGGAATGGATCAAAGACCTAAACGTAAAACTTTAAACTATAAGAATGTTAGAAATGCAGAAGACACCCTTATGGAAATTGGAACTGGCAACCAATTCCTGATCAAAACCCCAAAAGTTCATGTCATAAGAGAGAAGATTGACAAGTGTGAAGGAAACCAGAGCATAAGCTGACAAGGTCCTTATGTTTCTTGGCTTGTGTTCAAGGAATCAAGCCTACATTTCCTTTGTCTCCCCTGACCTTTTGGTTACATTTCTATGAATAACTAAGTAGCACCAAGTCTCGCCCGGAAGCTGCTTATCCTAAGTGATTGCCTTGCTTAACATAGATGTTAAGACATGCATAGTCTAGTTATTGATACTTACCCTGCTTGTGTGATTTAATTCAGACATTAACATATATCCTGCTTGTGTGGTTTCGCCCTCCCTTGTGTCATTTTTGTCCTATATAAGAGGCATGTGGTAAAAATAAATTTGTTCTCTCTCGCTCTCAGCTACCTGGGAAAGAACCCTCCCAATCCCACTGTTTTTGTCTCTTTCTTCTCTCATTTCCTCCCCCCACCTCAGGCACTGCTCAATGGAAGCTGGAACTCCACACAAGTGGAACCTCATTAACCAAAAAGCTTCTGCAAAGCAAAAGAAACCATCAAGAGAGCAGGGAAACAGCCCACAGAATGGGAAAAAAATATTTGCAAACTGCTTATCTGACAAAGGCCTAACATCCAGGATCTACAAGGAACTCAAACGTGCCAAAAGGAAAAAAACAAACAGCCCCGTTAAAAAGTGGGCAATAAGCCGGGCTCGGTGGCTCAGCCTGTAATCCCGCGCCTTTGGGACGCTGAGGTGAGTGGATTGCCTGAGCCCGTGGGTTCGAGACCTGTGGGGGCCCGCCCCACAAGGGTCGTGAGATTTCCTGAAGGAGAGACGGACAGGCGAAGGATGAAGATAATAGACTTGGACAGCTGCTTCCTGAACAGATGACAATTTAATGTTAGTTAACACAGAGCTTTTATACCATTTGTGAAGGGGCAAGACAAAGAAAATTCCTTCACGTACATATCTTCTAAAAGTTACCATCTAGTGGTCTTAGTAGCAAACAAACCAAGATTCCCATAAACATTTAGACAACAAGTCTTATTCATAAAGCCAACAATGATACTTTCAGTCCCATGTCCCGAATTACAGTCCTTAAAATGTCTCAAGAAAGTTTCTTTAATTGTATATTTCTTTATGTGTCAGGAATTTTCCCATCTTAGGTTTTTATGTTCTTCAGAGTCCCGTGATCGCCTCCCTTGTCCAGATGTCCTCATTACTTTTCTCTTATCTTGCAGTGCTTGTTTCTAAAAGAGAACTCAAAAGAAGCTTTTAGTAATGTTTCCCAGGCCCCTCAAGGTTACTTTCTGTTTTAGTTGATCTGTCATAAAAGTGTCTGATTATTATATTATGAGTTCAGTGAAAACCCACTCTATAAATGTTAACTTAAAGTTTTAACTATTAAATTAAGTAAAAACTTTAACATTAATCTTTATCCTAAGTCAGTGAAAACAGTGTTATAAATCACCTACATAACTCCTAGATAAGTGTTAGAACTTATAATGAATACATAATGAACTTACTATAAACTTGTGCTTCTAAAAAACCTTATGTCTAAACACTAAACTGCATAATCCTAGATCAAATGAGTGAATATACTTATATCATTTTTTACTCAAGCAATATCTAGTAACTTATAACCAAGTGAAAGAAAGCATTCTTGATGTGCTTCAGAGTTTAACCCTTGCATATGTTAGAAAAGGCCAAACAGCATAGTGGGAAATGGAAAAATAAACCATGACATTTCCAGGTTAGCTGTGAGTACTTCACATAAACATGCCATTTTCTTCTTCCACGACTGCACAGAATTCTTCGGCGGTATCAAACAGCAAAGGTGGAAGACAGAAGGGCCTCAGCTTCCCGGGCTCGCCCTGCGGCCTGGGGTCTTCGGCCCACCAGGACCCTGTCAATCAGGTGGGCCTCCAAGGCTGGCTCCCAACGGAGACCCGCCTGGGCAGCAAGACCTCATCTCTACAATAAATCAAAAAATCAGTCAGGCATGGTAGCGCATGCCTGTAATTCCGGCTACTTGGAAGGCCGAGGCAGAAGGATCACCGGAGCCCAGCAGATCAAGCCTGCGGTGGCCAGGAGCGGCCACTGCACTCCAGTCTGGGTGACAGAGTGAGACTCCAACTCAAAAAAAAAAAAAAAAAAGTGGGCAATAGGCTTGAATATACTCTTCTCAAAAGTATATACGAGCAGCCAACAGACACATTAAAAAATGCTCATCCTCACTAATCATCAGAGAAATGCAAATCACAACCACATTGAGATACCACCTAACTTCTATAAGAATGGCTATCATCAATAAAGCAAAAACAACATGTTGGTGAGGATGCAGAGAAAAGGGAATGCTTTTATACTGTTGGTGGGAATGCAAACTACTATCAACCTCACTGGAAAACAGTGTGGCAATTTCTTAAAGAACTAGAAATTGACCTTCCATATGACCTAGCAATCCTCCTTCTGGGAATATACCTGGAGGAACCTAAATTGCTCTACAAAAAAGATACCTGCACATGCATGTTTATTGTTTCACTATTTGCAATAGCAATAACATGGAACCAACCGTGCTGCTTATGGAAACTGGACTGGATAAAAAAATATGGTACATATGCACAATGGAATATTATGCAGCCATAAAGAAGAACAAAATTTTACAGCAACTTGGGTAGATTTAGAGTCTGTCATACTCAGTGAACTATCACAGAAACAACTGAGTACCATATGTCCTCAGTCGTAAGCAGAACCTGAACATTTACCATAATACAGTAAGAAAGAATCGGCAGTAGTGAGACATTTCCAGGGAAGGGAGGGAGCATGTAACATCAATAAGAGTACCTGATCTCAAACCAGGTGAAGTGAGGACTAAACTTTACCTGTGCAATGACCAATTGTATAATTAAATCTGAATTGTACCCCACATATTTTTTAAAAAAAAATTTTTTTTTTTTTAAAGAACAGTCTGGGCATTGTAGCAAAACCTCATATCTACAAAAAAATGTTTTAAAATTAACCACGTGTGGTGATACACGCCTATAGTCCTAGCTCCTCAGGAGGCTGGGGCAGGAGATTGCCTGAACCCAGGATTTTGAAGCTGCAGTGAGCCATGATCTTGCCTTAAAGCACCATTGCACTCCAGTCTGGGTGACAGAGTGAGATCCTGACTAAAATGAAACAAAATCCCCCATCAAAAAAACAAACAACAAATCAAAAAAAGCAAATGTGGCTCACTTCTGGAGCTCTGTCCAAGGCTTGGTTTCCTAAGCTGCCTCTGCCTGTTTTAATAACATTCTGCCTGCTCAAGGAGATGAATGATTGCAGAAGTGGGTTAGTGGCCACTTTTGACTGTGGGTTATCTGCTGCTTGTGGTTGGATCTATTAATCTCTGGATGTATTCTCTTTACCTGTAGAATTTTTATTTGTTTTTTTCCTTGAGTTGAATTGGGAAACCTTTACAAAGGGAATGCTTTTATACTGTTGGTGGGAATGCAAACTACTATCAACCTCACTGGAAAACAGTGTGGCAATTTCTTAAAGAACTAGAAATTGACCTTCCATATGACCTAGCAATCCTCCTTCTGGGAATATACCTGGAGGAACCTAATTTTTCATTTCAGAACATATTTTTCAATTAAAGCTCGGGACCCGTCACTCCTATACCCTGCCCACTAACTTACACATCTGTGTTACCTGCCTGACCTCCATGGATGTTGTGATATCTCTCTAACACTTCATGATTTCTGAATATCCTTGAGAAGGTCTTGCCCTGGTAAGAATTGTCTTACAGCCAAAAATATCCCTGTGGCTCAAAATCTCTGAGTGTGCCTCTATCATCCAGTGCTTTACCACACTGGCATGGTTGGCACTCCATGTGTTCATCCCAAGCTGGGTAGTGTTAAGGGTACAAAACATTTGAGGCACGTTGCCTCCCTGCTCTCAAGACACTTAAAAATCTAGTTTCAAATACAAGAGTGCTTCACACGAATCAAGAGCCAATCATTTATTTCAAATAATTTTATGTACTCACTTTTGAGGTTCAGGTCTCAAAAGTAACCTTTTAAGGAAGAGAATGTGCAGAGGGGATCAGTGTGGTCAGAGAGGGTTCCTGGGAAGAGTTATATTGGAGTTTGGTCTAGAAGTATAGTTTGTGGGGAAAAGGACTATATCAGGTGGGGAAAAATTTCCTAATAAATGCAGATTACTGAGGAATGGGCCACATTTGGTATGAAT